AAGCAGCTCACGTTTGTAAAAAATGAATTCGTATATAATATCTAAGATACTTTTGTTGTCCTTTAATATTTGATATTTTTATATTTAAATAAAAGCACTTTTATTAATAAAATATTATGAAATTCGATAAGTCGGATAAAATCTCCGCCCCGATGAGTCCGACTTATCGAGAGTGACTATGTATCATGAACTTTAATTTGATACTCTCATAATTACCAAATACAGATAAAATCAAATGCTAGCATTATTTCCTCCCGCATTATCGCAAGTAATCTTTAAATGTTCTCACCTTTATTCGATTTCTTAACTCCATCGACACCATGCTCAGGGTGCCATTAGGGCCTTTGCCGATAACTTTGTCTTCATCGAGAACGCAATTAATTGGTTCGCGTACTGCTTTATCATGAATACCAAATAAATGCACTTTACATGGACTGAGATAATAAATCTTACTTACCTGTTGGTTGGAATGGGGTACGTGAACATTTGTACTCAGCCATAACTGTAATGAGCTGTCATAATAATTGTGTTACCGCATAATTCTCACTATCAATTTTCTCTGTTGTGCTGCTAATTGCATATTTTGCGGTAATAATTTCTCTCTAATTTAGCTTTAACTGGATGTTTTTTAAATTTTAGTAAATCTTTTGCTTCTTCTTCCTCACGAGCATTATACTGTAGGTCATTCCGAAAATGTTGGCATGTGTCACATAAGTCCGTTTTGGACTCATAATTTAAATATAAGGCGTCAATTCGTATCATAACTTGCGAAACACATCATATTTTAATAATTATAACGTGTCATCATTTTCAAGACCTGCGATAAAATCATGATACTGTAGACCGATTTGTAACTCGTAAGGTGTTAGCGATTGAGTAATGCGATTGACATTTCTACCAGGACTTGGTGGTCCATGTATTTCAGCCTAGTTGAGATATTGTTACAACAACTACATTAATTTGCTATTGACAAATTGACGGACAGTATATAAAAAACATTACGGGATACAAATGCAAACAAAACTATGACTAGACAGTCCTGTCTTACTCTTTTCAGTAATATAGCGATAAATATTGTCCTGGCCCGTAGCCAAATTCAAAAATGGAACTGGGCCAGTTCGAAGTAAGCACATTTTATTTCGCTATTATCACATAAACAATGTTGATTAAATGTCGCTTATTGGTTGTAATATGCTTATTGCGAAATGGGCTGGATTGCACTCCGGGCCAGAACGATAATAACAGTGTTTTCTAGAACATAACACACAGCCACAAACATAGCCCACAATAATAATGACGCTAATAATAAAGCTTCCTTTTCCGGTCATAAGGAATATTAATCGATATAATAATGTGCTATTAATAATGTTGTCCCTCATGTAATCACCACCATCACCACCATCATCATCCATTACCATCGCTATCACCATCAATCATCACCACCATTATCACCATTACCATTATCATCGCTCATCATTATCACAATCATATGGAGCCCATTGTATACTACATATCCACAATATGATTGGTCGTGCATAATGTCGGAAAATGTAATTACCGCAACGTGATTGGTGACAATGGATCTTCGGATATTCCTTTTAATGATTGTAATATAATAATAAGGGTTTAAGTTGGGTTATGGATAATTCTGGCACTTTATTGTAGATATTATTTTCAATAAGATGCAGCGGCTGTTTGTGAATGACGAGTCTTGAATGTCTGTGTAAGGATTCCCAATGTGCTCAGATTCCAAATATGTTTCCATTGATAATATGGTCGTCAATATTTTACTCACAATAGCACGTGCATCAGAAACATCAGCACACTTTACTAAAAAAATTTTATTTTCCCCGTTTCAAAAATCTATTGTAAACATATAAAAGGGTTGCGACTATATAAAATTGTAATAGCACCAGTATAAATAAGGAGATATATATCAAATATGTATATAGAATATTACGTCTATTATCGGTTTTTTTAATGTCAACATCTTCCCTTGAGCACAAGGCTCCCTCTTGGGATCGTCAACTCCTTATGGAAACTTACTATTTGTTGCCTCATATAGATTGTACTCCTATATTAAAAAAAAGTCAAAAACGTGTGAAATTGAATACTAATACAGTGTATCGTGCATATATTATATTATTATATTATATCTTATATATATATGTCCTTTTCATCTCCAGCGCCCACACATATTCGCTGCTCTTTCTCCAACTACATCCTAACGCCTACCAGCACTTGCCTTGAACATCAAACTCGCTCACCTACTTAGTTTACAGTTCTCTACCATAAAACGATTGGTATTACCATACCTGCACGAACTCCAGTCTCACATTTCCACTTTGCAAACACAATATCATCATCCTTTGAAAGCCATATGGAATAACTCGACACAAATCAAATATCTTTATCCGATATCGTTACCAAGGCCATATTTTACCAAAGTTCGCTCATTCTCATTGAATCAAGATCAGCTACATCAGAACATTTTCTCATTGTCTTCAATCCCCGTCACATTCTCAAACCAGCTTATCCTCCAATGGTTAGACATCCCAAAAAGTTATTGGAACGCTTGTTTGCCAACGAGCCTAATAACCTTATCTTTTCACCGCCGACGTCCCATTTCACATCTGCCAAGAACACGTGCGTTGATGTCAAAGAAATGTCTGCCGATGACATATACAGAGACTTGAAGATTGGAGGACAAATGTTATATTTACAGCTGCCTGACGATGTCAAAATCATTGTAGATAAACTAAGGAAAGTACAAGAGGACAAGAGATCAGAAATATTCGATCAAAGACTGTCTAATGGAGAATATCAGGTATGCACCAATTACAGTCAAGCTCGACCCATCAAATAGCTGAATCTAGCGACTAATATGTATTGCAGGCTATATTTGACTTTGTACTAGCTAAATTCATATATACGAAAATACAAATTAGGAAATGAAAAAATTCTGTTCGCTTATCCGATCATTCTTCTATATGTTTCCCCTTTATTTCTATAGTCACCTTTTATGGCATTAGAATCAGCGTTGATGTCTATTCTCACTCTGGTGCCAACCATCCTCTTGTCGAATTCGCATGAGAATTCACGCGAGAATACTGTGTTCGATTACGAAAACTCCTCACGAAGAAACTCTTATGGTCGCGTATCTCCATTTAGCCATTCACAAATCAACCTGGGACAAAATTCCGGGATGGCTGCTGTTAAGAGATATTCTATTTCGAGTTTTCGCACATCGCATGGATTGCAATGCAGTGGTGATGACGATGACAATGCATCCATTCGATCTGTGGCTTCAGTGCAATCGACAATCGCTGAAAACGTGATATCCTCTTCGTTAGCAAAGATATTGGGTGCATCCTCATTGCTGACGTCAGTTATTAGTACTGTTATATCAATGCATAACGAGGACTTGGTCAGAGTAATAACCGATATAGCAGGATTCGACCAATACTATCGTTTAACCGAACAAGTATCTGCAGAAGCAGAAGCCATCCGGAATCAGATTAGGGCCGTAAAAGATAACGTCATGCATGCGAGGGCTGAAGATACACGTGGACAGGGTATTTACAGTGCCTTAGTGGTACACTCGAATAGACTCGTCGATTCGTTGAGTGTGCTCGCCGAATTTGTGGAAGGATTGGCTCCATTGATGTATGAAGGTGGGTAATGGCAGACTTTCCAAATGTATCATTTGCATGCTTTTTTCTAACAAAGAACGGTTAAAAACGACATTGGCAGATGGTATTACAGATTTGCGTTCAGTTGGCTGGTCACACGGAACCAAGTCAAATCAAAAGTAAGCCTCGTCCAATACCAAGAGAGATTAAACGGCAAAAAAAATTGTCGTTTATTATTCATTAATGTATAATTATTAATTTATACTGACCTTATTATTATTACTATTGTTTCTGTTTAACCAATAGGAAAAAAAGTTCTTGTAAGAATTACAGTATTCCGAAATTGTACTACATTAATTCGAGATTAACGCAAATCCATTATTGACCATTCCCCAAACAGTCAAGACGAAGGTTGCCCGAACGTTCTCATCACTCAAACGAACTGCGGTATTAACCCATGTCCTCATGCCAGATATGAACGGTGACAGTATCCCTACACATTGTTACACTGGCTACAATTATGATTGCGATCGACGGGTGTGTATTCCCCATTGAAAAATTTTCGATATACAGTACATACGTACACTATTATCATTATACATTATCGATGATTCACTGCAACTTTTGCTCACTTCTCTTACTACTATCCAGCGGACTAAAAGCATAGCATCCGTGGCATCGACTGCATCGACTGCGTCGACTGCGTCAGTCGCCTCTGTATATACACTTCCCACACCATTACACAAACCACGCAAAATTTCTTTCAGTGACACGTCCCGCCTTCATCGCCACATCATTCCCCCACGCATTCACATTCCCCCGAACCAACCCGGTTTGGCATCCCGCCATTCCGTACACCCGTACACTGAAACAAGTGAAAGTGATAGTCCCTCAACGGTCTCGGCCTGGCATAGTATTCCGAGTACTCCAGCAACGCCAAATACGCCGCGGTCGTCGAGATTTAAAGAACACTTTGATGCATTACCGGCATTGATTACACCATCTTTAGTCGGTAAGGAAATATTGGTGTTTTGTGAAACAAACATTTACATAGATTATGTAATATTATTTATCTGGTATTCACCTTATTCGCCTATTTTGATTCATTATAAATGTCACTACCCGGTTAGGACGACGTCGCCGAATGTCAGAGACGGCAGACGTAGGACATCCAAAATCTCTATATTTGCAGGATAATAGAAGTGCAAAGTCCATCATGTCATATGTAGAACCAAATCGATCTGATGTACATCTTGTAAAGGAAAAGGGTTCTTTTCCTCCGCTCAATTCTTCGAAACCCGGTTTCAAAAATTACTTGATGAAACGCGTAGTAAAAAAGAAGAGCGAAGAAGACAGAGCAAACAGCTACTGGCCGGTAAATGAAAGCGGTTCGATGCCGAGTTTGCCGACAGGAAGGAAAATGCCCAGTGGCTTTTATGCATCACAGAAAATGCAGAGGATATGTAGCGATGGAGATTTAAGATTGCTGCGGAGGCAATGGGGAGGAGAGAATAACAGCAGCGGAGAATCGGTCGGAGGACATTTGAGCGGGTTTACCGGAGATTCTGAAGATTCAGGGGGTCTTAGGGAACATTTATTTCATAGGATTGTGAAGAAGAAAAGGTATGTGTGACATTCAGCAGAGGGAGGAATGTGTATGTTGATATGCCGGGTAATGTAGTACATGTGATTTACTGACGTTTCGATAAATCCAGTTCTCAGACAAGTTTATCGGCAGCATTAAAAAACCATGAAATGCCTAAATCGATGCAATACTTGTCTTACGCTCATGACAACCTGTCAGAACGAGATGCAGTAGAGTATAAACGCGTGTACGAAGAAAAGCTTACAGAAGCGACAAGGAGAAAACTCTTTATCGTAGACGATGAGCCTGAACAAGCCATTGACTCGAGGTACGACTTAAACCTGTGTAGTACAGTTAGTGGGTAGAGTATTGCGGCTAATGGATTCTATGCTCGTTATTACTGGCCAGCAGAATTGCTTTCATGTGAAAGGGGATGAGTTTGTTAACATGTGTGCGTTGTGTTCCTCATTGCAGGCGGCATATTCAGGCTGAGACAATTGAGAACCTCTTAGAACATCTAATCTATGTGGATGATCCGGGTACTGTAACATTTTCCTTAATAGGTTTAAAAATTCACTTTATTGACATTACTAACTATAATTCCCAACTCAAAAAACTTCATTAAATAGACCCTGAGTTTGTCGACTGTTTTGTCTTATGCCACGCCTTTTTTATGGGTTCACACACATTTTTAGAATTTCTAATTGTACGCTATTCTTCCCATGATGAATATGCACACGTGGGAATTTCTCAGGAAACAGTACAATCCAAGTATGTCTACTGAACACGCGTTTGTGCTTCGTTGTATTTCCCACCCCAAAGTTTATACCGATCATGTTCTTTTTTACCCCCTTTCCCCCCTAAGCATCCTGAAAGTTCTTTACAGGTGGACATTACTACAACATGAGAACTTCATAGACGAAAATCTTCACTCGACTTTGGACACGTTTGTTGAATCGCTGGTGAATAACAACGTGCTAAATGGAATTAGACATAACCTACAACAAGCGCAAGTGGCGCTCACACGGCGACCGTCGATACCAAATCTGCAGTCATCGATGATATCTGTTGTAGACAGACTATATCTATCAGAGACGTCACCGTTGCTCGACTTTGAGTCTAGGGTTATTGCGAAATATCTGACCCTGATAGATTTTGCTGCATTCAAGAATATTACCTTGTACGAGTATATTACGGGATGGTGGCGGAAGCGAAAAGGGTTCAATTCTGGGGAAGAAGAACAAGTTGAAAGTGGAATTGATGTCTTTACGAGGCGAGCTAACATGGTATGCTTGGATTATATACAAGACAGATCTGCGTTATTTTTATTATGAATTATACTGATTTCTTTTTGTTTATATAGATGAGTCACTGGGTGGCCTACGAAATATGCAGTCTAAAGACAATTAAAGCACGAAGGACTTTACTCCATAAATTCATTGAAGCAGCACGGGTATATATATTCGCTTATATTATGCGTTAGGTTTCTTTTACATTCAAATGAACTAATGATTACGTTGTTGTGATTCTTCTTCCAAACAGCATTGTCGAGACTGGAATAATTTTCATACATCAATGTGCATAGTACTCGCTCTCAACTCCCGCCCCGTGCGCCGTCTGGAAAAGACTTGGCTCGCCCTGTCTAATAAGGACTTGTTGACGTTACAAAACATTGAAAAGTTGATGGATGTTTCTGGAAATATGAGGAATTATCGTAAAGCCTTAGCGCATGTTCGAGCACCAGCGGTTCCATTCTTCGGTAATACATATTCTAAAATAATATTATGTTGTTTGATCATTCATTGTTACGGAATCATCCTAACGCGTCCCATGTTATACATTAATTATCATTGCCAATCCACAAACAAACAAACAATCAATCAATCGAACAAACGAAAAATACAGCCGTATTCTCAAAAGACTTGACCGTAATCATGGAAGGCAACCCCACGTTCACACCAGCAGCAACTGATATGTCCAATTCGTCGACTCAGCAATTAGTAAACTTTGAAAAGTTTCGCTTGCTCACTCGTAATGTTCTTAATATGAAGGCGTTTACCTCAGAAGCTTATTCATTTTCCCGTCAGCTCTCCCAACTGCCCTCAATTGTTCCAACTTATGAATTATCAGTCTCGGAAGAGGGTAGAAAGGGAGCTTTGGACCACGTTGGGGAGATAATAGAGAAGAGAATATTAGTGGCTGCAGGAGATATGTTTGACGGAAGTGTTGCGAGTATCGCGAAGAGTGATGGTGCCGAGTTGGAGGCAGAGTTGATGACGTTATCACTGAAGGCCGAACCAAATGTGTGCGATTAAAAAGAGGGTTTATTTGGAATGTGTTTGGAGCAAAGGACAAAATGCTAAAACAATATTGGCTTTTTGGGTGTAATAATAATGAGTGTTCATGTGATAAGGAAAAGTTATAATACTATGTAAAAAAACTATCGGGTAATTTGTTTGAGTAATTGTGCGATGAATCCGACTCTGCTTTGGGATTTTCAGTTAGTGTTTAGTAATAGCAATTTGTAATAGACTAATGGGATACGAACAGTAATTCCAATGCTCTCTTTATTTGTAAATAAAAAAAAACTATCGTAACGGTTAGCTTTTCTTGCTTTTAAAAAGAAAGTTCTTCGAATGGGAGCTTCAGATGATGAAACTAAAAGTTGTTTCAATAACAAAACGACTAGTCAACGCACACAAGATTTCGCTTTGATCGTTTAATAGTCAACAGCCTTGATCATCAAATAAACATTGACGCTTTCTATTGTACATGGATTTCTATTGTTGAAAAAAAAAACCAAACATGCGTTCAAAATCTATGCAAATCGTGTTAAAGAGAGAATTGTGTGACATCTAATACACTAGACATTTTCATCGACTGCAAACAAGATTTAAACTTATTTTATAGTAAAATTTCTTAAACATCTTGCGGAATCTGTATGCATATTTCCTTTGTCTACGTCCTTGACAAGTTTTCTATTTGTAACAACGTTCACCAATATGATTTCCGCGAAATCGTTTTTGAAAACTAGCCTGGTATAATATCGGTTAGATTTATAAACATCAAAACTTTAAATTTTGTAAATAAAAAACCACAACCAGTAGTGGGAAATTTCAGTACATGGACATCGGCACGGTACGAACTTTAATCAAACTTTATACTAATCATCAATTAACAGTTACTATGCACGTGAACCTAATGATTTATCTGTTTAATCAGGTGTAATACTAATGCCTTATTAGAGGCCTTCATATGAAAACATGATGCTTTGAACCAATTGACAAAGTTTGAAAGTAAATTAACTTTAGTCCCGCCTCTTTTTTACTTCATCACGGCTGAGAAAATTCTCTTGTCCGATTTGCAACTATTATTTGTCAGTTTTGACGCTGCTTGTTAAATCGGTGATCATAAGTAGCTCGATATTAAAAGAATTAACCAAGGTCTAGTCAATTATTATCTAATGGACTTTTTCTTATTTGGATAGATTAAACGTATTAGCTTTTTGGGTAAGCGTTCCGTCTTAATATCACTTGCAACAATTTATTAATGCAGTAATTGAGCAATTATACAAATGACACAGAAGTCTTAATTTTACAGTATATTGAGCTAAAAGTCGATATTTTATTATATTACATAGTCACTCTCGATAAGTCGGACTCATCGGGGCGGAGATTTTATCCGACTTATCGAGAGATCCGACTTATCGA